ATTTTAATCTTAACAGTTTTATAAGCATTTCCTTCCTTAAAGACTGGATTCAATTGTTACTAACCTATGTTTCTAAATTGAGCCTTTATGTTCTTAAAGATTGCTCATTCAATTCCGCATACTATTTCATTACAATATTAATGTGAATTTTGTTCTTTTATGAAATCTCGCATTCTTTTATGAATCCACAATACGACGCCATATTTTACTGCTGATCTAACTTGTTTTATCATAAATCGTCAGTGTTGGGTTGACAGCAAAACATGGTTTTAGCTAAGTTTGCTTGTTTGTCTATTCTCGAATCCATTTATTCAAGCGTTTTCCATCACTTATCTTGGGTGCATTGGTGTTCTAATGATACATCAGAACAGAGGTGAACAGAGGAGTGTTTCAAAGATGTAAGAGACAAACACAAAGGTAGAAAAAGGTGAGGTGAGTACTGTGGATATAGTCGAATATGGCATAGAGTGAGGTGATGGTAGTTTGAAGTGAGAAGTCAACTGCCAGTTAATAGACTTTTTTTGCCGTATAAGTTTACGTTGCCCAGGGTGCACCACGTGGAGGTAAGTCTATCGCACACCCCATAATCAAAATATAAATACTTGTTTACTAGGCCCTTATTTATTATGGATAATATGGTTTGGATGGAAATGTAATCTGTTATTTGCTCCATGGTGTAAAAGATAAAAGTTAAAAAGTTCACCTCTTATCAGTATTTTTCTTGCAGACCCTAGCCCAAGCGTTGACAGCTCTTCTAGTGTTGGAAGATCAGACCATGCAAACTGCCCTGGAAGAATTTCTTTCTGGTCGATCCGTACGTACCTTATTGTTTTATATATTTTTCATTATTATTTCCGCCACATTTTGCGTTATAATTCATCTACATAATAATATGTTTAATTAAAATGACGTTTCTTTTTCTCCTATTTCTACAATTACGATCAAGAGGTCCAAATTTGAGATGATGTAAGAGCTTCAACAGATTTTATGAATTCCAAATCATGTCTTTGAATTCACACATTGATGTGAGGAAAATATTCTTCGGAGTCTCCTTTTAGCAACTTATTCGAAGTGCTGCTTACTTTCTCTTTCCCTATAAGATCCTTCGGAGTTCGATCTTGTGTTGTGTCTTTTAATCAAAATTAATCCAGTTTTTATCTCGTTACCGAAGCGTTGAATGTTCTTAACTTCTCTTGATTATGCGGATTAACTTTTCCATATGGACGAAATGTTCATGGATTTTCTCATAAATCGTAAGATTCTTATTAAAGCGTTTTTATTAAAATTCTCCCAATTCCTATTGACTGATTTGTCTATTTAATACAATCGAATATTTTTGGGTACAAATAAAGTCTCTAGGCGTGTTTTTTACCCATGTTATGCGATGTTGATATGAACTCAACTAAATCGTTGTAAACTGTGAGCACTTTCACTTTCATGGCAGTTATCGAAATTGTGAGTTCTTTTTGTCAGTTCGAGCTTCTCAGGTAACTTTGAAAAACTTCGAAATTGACGGATAATTTAAACACTAGTTTTCTCAAGCAAGAGCTTTCTCACCCATTGAATAGAATTCTTGAGGTTCCGTTCTTGGATCAGCTAATTCTTCTAATCGTTGTTGTTTCCCGGAGATGAAACATTATTTGCTGTTAACCTAATCGGTGAGCACATATGCAACAGTAAAGAAATTGTTTGGGACAAGCATTAACAAATGAGTTAGTTGTTTCAAATATGTTCAGTGTTGATCTCTCCCATCCTGAGGAATTGATCGACCCATTTGTAGTACCCTTCGCATTAACTTACAAGGGTTGATAAAGTTTATCTGTAATAAGTTAGCTGCGAGATGTTCTATTGAAGTTGAAGCTAAATTTGGTTCTGAATTATGTCTTTAAATATATGCGTTTCAGGCTTTCACTAAAATGGCTCTTTTTTGTTTAGACGGCTCTGAGTTGCATCTTGGGGGCGGATGAGGAAACATCCAGTGGTCAGTCATTAAGCAATTCTAAAATTACCATTGAAGAACGTCTTTCCTTGGTAGTGAATCTTCTCATCCAAGTCGACCGAGTTTTGACCACACTCTTCCTGCCCAATGGTCAAATCTCCTCTCTCCTCCAAAAAATGGTCAAGTGGTGTCCAAAAGGTATGAATAGTGTTTGATTTTCAGGCATTTTAGAGTAATATGCATGATGTTAATTTATTTGTGGATTAGTTTTGTGTTGCACTTAGATGCGTTGGCTTATGTACTAATTTACATTAAGACGGTTTGTCCATAGTTTCTTAAGCATTCCTCGATTTATTTTCGACTAGACTCGTTACTCCATCGATATCAGTAGTTCCTTGCTTTCTTGGCTCTTTATTTCAAAAGTTCTACATTAAACGTAATTTGCACTTAGAATATGTTCTAAAATGGCTTGGAACAATAGGCCACCATAGTTTGTAGGAAACATACTGAGTTTCCATCTTTCCATATTGACCAGTTTTACTCGATTATGTTTTTCCAAACATTTAAATTAACAATTTATCATTAATTATTCATAAGCTTTGTCCACTTTTTTTTAAAATGGGCTAAATAGTAAGGTCGTTGCCTTGCGTGCTTTTAGTGTAAATCTAATTATTACAGTAATTTTGTGTTTGTGTTAATTTCTGGAAGTTATAGCTCTTTTTGAGTTCAATTAAGTGCTTTCTAATATCGTTCTGGTTCCGGTGGGCAGTTGTGACATGAAGTTCCACCATGCAGTCAGTGATAGTGCAAAAGTAATGGATCTCACACCCATGCCCACACCCACCCACCCACACGCACCCAATGGAGTCTTCCATGTTTAAAGTCTTTCCAGCGGCACTTGTTTCCCAGCCTAAGTGTCTCAGCAACAGTCGTTCCCGAACTCCTGATTATCAGACAAATGAAATATGCCGCCTAAGGGGACACGAAGAAGGCTGTTGTACTCGTATCGCCCCTCCCCCAGAACTCATTGGAGCTTCACCATGATCAAGTCTTCAAAATTTCTTGGTTCGTGTGACTGGAATTTGCCTAACCGATGCTCATTTTCCGCCTCAAGCTCTGGATCATTGTGGGATATAATTGCAAGTAACCCCAGAAACTCAGTCTTGATAAGTCAATTTTTTCCACAATTTAAACAACGCCATATGTGGATGTGCGAAATTCAGGCGCGACTGTACTTCCTTAACATCATAATCTCATGCGTTCTTAAAGAAAAATTTAGTGTTACACTGATCTTTTTCTTACTGGATCCACCCAAGACAGCTCTTATCTTTGTGGTCTCATATTTCTTGTGACCTGAGTTTGTGCACATTACGTCTGTTACAACTGGTACCACCGCTAATGGCCTTCACCTGATATTCTCCCATCAGGGCATACCAACGTTTTTTTTGTGTTCCTGCTCAATGTGCAAACAATTGAATCTACTTTCCTCTTTTACTTTTTCTAAATACCTAGCAAGAAAGCCGAGGTTTAAATTATGGAAGTGGTGCATTGTCTATTTTGTCTAACTTGCAAATTCCTAATGCTCAAATTTCATGATTTGACCCCCAAATTCATTAGTGGGGTTATATCCATAACGTTTTGACCCTAATATTTAATTAGCTCTATTTCGTAGTTTGTGACCTCACGCCGATTTATCTAGACCCTACTATGGCCAATGGCCAAAGTTTGAAACGGTCCTTTGGTAAAGATACACTAAAAGATCAATTTTTAAATATTTCTAGAAGCCACTTGGTTTAGTGGAGAGAATCTTTTTGAGCATTTGCCTGACAATGTGGCGAAATACCATATAACCATGGCACCGGCACATACACGTCAATCCAAATCTCCATCATTCTCCCATAGTCAATTGCAACCATCAGAAGAGATCTTTGGAACTTCACCGAGCGGTATTCGAGCTGTTGCCTTGGAAAATGACGTGCTGTTGGAACATTTCATGAATTGGTGGCAGTCGTAAGTTAAACGTATCTTTGTGGCACAATAGTACCCCCCCATTGTCTGTGATATCTGAGGTCTTGATCCAACCTCGAATTTCTCTCAAGGGGATTCCTTAATACTGATGTGCATGGGAAAAATTCCTAAGGGAGTTTGAAGAGAAAGTCTCAGTTTATAATCTCAACTTCATTCATCGGTTGCGACAGTGAACGTGCAATGCTTTGACTTTACAAAAAACACATTGGTCAATACTAGTAAACACAAGAATGGTGGATCCAAATCAGAGTCATTTAGATTTTGCCTTTCTGTTCCCGAATTGAAGTTGCAGTATATTTTCTTCCGTTTGGTTTGGGAATGGATAGGTTTACATCATTTTCCGTTTGTTATTATTTCAGCACACAATCTTTTTGCCAAAATCATCTTTCCTCTGTTCTTTCATCGCATCTCCTTGATCTTGGAGACCTTGTGGAAACAAGACGTGCTCTTCTAAATAAGCTATCTGCTTGCAATTCCTTCGGGAATATAATTGGACATCCTGTTGATCTCTGGACTGACCTCTTCCGGTCTCCGTTCCTTAAACATCTTGAGGTAGTCATTTTGTAGCCTCTCTTAAAATTGGCCAAAGTGTTAATTGAATATCTGTCTATTTTCAAAACAGGTCCTCCTGAAATCTACTCTTAATAATGTGTTTACAGAATTCGAGACATCACTGCTCTCACTAGCTAAGTCTATCGATGAGTCGGGGTCAAAAAATTCGCAAACAGTCGTGAGTCTGCAACTTTATTACAAATATTTATGACCTCCATTTAGAGTGGTAATTGGCCGCTTCGTGTAGTGCCCGCAGTCCAGTCATGTTTTAAGTTCATTTTTAGAACATATAAGTACTATTTTTGTCATTTTAATGGCTAGATGTATAAACACGATCTTGAAAATTTTGATTTAGTCGGTAGACGACGATGAACGGGATCTCGTGTCGTTTGTCTGGTCACAGAGCCAGCTTTCTTCTAATCAGACTGCTTTATCTCGAAGTCAGGTTGGATCAAGTGGCCAAATTTCCGATATCCCACTTGATCAGTTGTTAGATGTGTCACCAAAAGATTTGGGATTTGTCTATTTTGCTTGCCTGATTGGTCGACGCGATCTTCTTCTTCCTTCTAATTACTCGCCAATGCCAAATGATTCTCGCACTGCGATCAATAACGATGTAAGCTATCTTAAAATTTATTTACTTGATTATTGATTATTGTGGTATTAAATGAATATTTTCTTCTTAAAACTCAGAAAAAATATGAGTTGAGCCAACACCAACTACCTGGCCCACTGAGATGGCGTCTTGATCGTTTACTTGAGAGTGCTGCATTCACCTATTCGGCATTCGATTCTCGAAGTGGTACTCAACATAATGTCGAGGGAGATAGAGAAACCACAGTCTCCTCAAATCGACAAGAACTCAACAGGAAGAGAAAACTTGTCACCCCTAGATTGAAGGAGTAAGTAATGCTGTTATCAAAAATCATGGGAGATACTTGCAGGAGAGGGGGGGTGGGATAAAATCTTACCATGATACTTGCTGTTGTCAAAAGAAACATTTTTAAATCTCTCCTAAAACGCAACTAGCACAGATGAATGCATAGTTTTTAAATTCTGGTGTCTCATAGTGAGACCAATAGCTTTACATATGGGATTTCTTTCATTGGTTCTTTCAAGTCTGATAGCTGTTAGTAGTTAGGTACTGTCCAATTGAAAATAGTAGAGAGCTTCGTTGCTCAAGAAGAAATTGTCTTTGAAATGCTGATTTTTATTCTAAATTTGTTCGAAGCTAGTTAAGTTAACAACAATAAATTCAACTAGCATCTGTTGACTTACTCCAGAATATGCAGTAATTGCAACAATCGAGTCTGTGAAATTGTCGCAACTGCGGCCTCAGAAGACGTTGCAACCTGGAAAGTTCTGCTTTCCTCTATCGAGGATCTTATCACTCGTTTCACCAATTTGGCACAACGAGTCTACGATGGAGAAAAGTTCAACACTTCAGCGCATGGAATCTTCTGTGTGGCTCGAGCTTGTTTCTGCCTCCTTGATGTCTATCCTGCTCTAGGGGCAACTGTCGTCACAGCAACTGCGAGAATACTGGCTGAAGAAGAGACGAGCTCTCCGTAAGAATACTAATTAATTTCATTTGTCTTGTCATTAATTGATCTTTTTGCTTTTATGCATAAATCAATTACCCATGTTGTTTTCTGGGTGACTACTTTACTTCAGTGCGTTCTAATAAGATGGTCAATGAGTTTCTTGATGGTAGTTTTCAGATGTCCTCTTTCAGTTGTGGTTAAAGTACTTTATTGGGAATCTTTATATCACCAGGTTGTCTCTTATAAAACTACAACAACTTAGACTTCAGGAACCCACTGTTGCTTTAAGAAACATACTTGTATGAAATTATATCTGCTAGGCTAGTCAAGGGCTGTAGCAATATTTGCTTAAGTAATGGATGTTCAGATAGGAGTTCAGAAATTCAAAAATCAATTTCCAAATGTGTGAGGGATGTTTCCTGCGGTTTCGTTGAATGGTTCCATAAATAATAATTTATATCAAATGGCAGACTTTGTGTTAGTTATCACTAGCCCGTTAGTTGATTCTGGGCTTCACAGAGTTGAGGAACATCAAAGCCACAGAAAGTCGAGAGGTGGAACAGAAGAGTGGTTCACAGTTACAAAAGAGACAGCTAGATACAAAGGTATTTAAATAAGTAAGGTGTGTACTGTGGAAGTGGACAAATATGATATACAACCCGGGTTATGGTGGCTGGAAGTCAACTGCCGGTTTATAAATTTTTGCCGTGTGGGTATACGTTGCTCAGGGTGTACCACGTGGAGGTAGGTCTGTCACGCTCCCAGTGCCATAAATATTTGAACTGACTTTCTATCAAATGCATTATTTTTAACTAGGTGCAATCAGCAACTGATTCTGATAAAGGAATGGGGTTATGGTCCATGTTTGTGACTATCCGTATTCCTTTATAGGCCAACGTCAATCAGGACGGGTAGTCAGCGGTTGTTTATAAGGAACTACCTAGGCTATGCCATTCATTAGGTTCACTTCATTGACTCATTTATATTTAACAGATTCGCACCATGGATGGATGTGGCTAAATTGCGTCAAGCTTGGATAAACAGTAGCCGACAGCTTCGTTCAATTGCTGCACGTTTGAGTCTTGCTGCTGTTCTTCGTGCTACAGTGGAATCTCCCGTGCTTAATGAGTTGTTTAATACACTCTCTTCTATTTTTCAAAATTCGAACAATGTTGTCGGTAGTGGTGACGCGAAGTTAGTCAGTATAACTTCGGTACGTACATCTTATTGAAGACTTACATGATTCGACCATTTCAAATATTACAATTAGGGTCAAAATGTACATCTACCAAGTCAAAGGTGGCAAAATTGATACCCATTCGTGTACATTTAGCGCCATAGACGTTCAACCGAGAGGTTTATTTCTAATTAATGGAAGGCTTAGCAGAGTGAGGGATTTTCCACAGAGTTAAGTGTCGAACCAATAGCAATTGGGAATTAGATGCATTGGGTGGTAATTTGAATATGAAATAGACCGAATTTATCAAGTTTAATAGAATCGAACACTGGAGAATAGAGTATGTATTAAACTAAACAAGTTGCAAATATGCAGTAAAAGTTAGGAACATAAGTCAGTTACAAGCTAGAACTTTATACATTCACAGGTTAGTTATCAATATGTATACTCATGTTTCTACTTGACTAATTGCCATCCTTACTTTTAGCAATGGACTGAAATCAAGCTAAATCCTACAACAGAATCCGATTTGCCTTTGGCTGGTGTTAGTTTGAAAGTTCCTTCCCATCCATCCTTCCCACTTCAAGAGGCCCTTTTGAGCCTCGCTCGAAATCTGACGAACCTGAGTGTCCACGTTCTCCCGCGGTTAGTATATATTTAAGATGCTCTTGGAATCCAGACCTCAGGGTTCTAGTTTATTTTTATAATATATTGCTCTATCTTTCAGTGGAACTCTAGGCGAAGAATTTGGTTTACGGCTTGCAAACAGTTTTCTCACTGTTTACAATCGATTAGTTCAAGCTGAAACCCTCTCCCAATCGCAGGCTTTTCAACTCCTTTTTGATGTTCGTTTCATCTTTCGATTACTAGTTTCCCCATTTGTCAGTGCTGAAAAACTTCCGAATTCTACAACAACGGATTTCATTACTGTGGCGAGTGTGTCGGTGATGGGCCAAGACCTATTGAAACGCCTTGAAAGTGCTATAGATCCATTTGATCTGGAAATGGCTTCGGAACGTTTGAATGTTAGTATTGGACAAGCTGTTAGATCAACTGCCTCGCTATACGCCTCTCTTTTGCCTATACATTCGTCAACAATCAGCCCTGATGAGTATTCAGGAAAGGTGGATGATTTGTCTAACCTCACTTTTCTTCCTCTAACTCCATCGTCAAAAGTTTTAGATGGCAAAGAAAAGACTGCCGATATTGGGGTGGAAAAGACGAAATCCGCTGTCTTTGGACTTCTCCCCTTCTCACTCTCTCAGGTTCGACCCCCACCCCATGTTATCCCAGTGGTTAAAGCGAGATCACAACCACCTGTTCAAGAGGTGTGTTTCTCCTTAAAGGGCTTTAAATTTGCAATTTTCGAAACTTTTATTATATTCTTGTGTTCTTTTACCAATTTAGAAACCGAAGGATCTGACAACTTCACGCAATTCTGTCACTGATTTTTCATGGTTTAGTGGACTTTCCTTCACTTGAGATCTTGCCTTCTATGCACTATCTTCCCTTACTTCCATGTTTTCTTACTTTTTTCTATTTAAATAAAACTGTGATATGAATAGGGGATATGTTGGTTTTAACACCGATTGGTGTTTTGTGAATTCAGTACTGCTCGATTTAATTTAATTTGACTATTCTGGAAAATCCATATCCTGGCTTATTTACGTGCATTTGTATTTATTCATCTATGGTACTTCTCTATATAAATTTTGTTAAGTTCATTCAAACTAAATGAACAATTATGTTGCTGCTTTGTTGCAAAGCTATTTTAGTTCGAAACCAACTTGCTCCTATTATTTAATTAAATTAATTGAATTCAATGGTCAATAGTGAAATAACTAGTTGTGAACTTATCTCTTAAAATCAATAAGGGTAATAGATCACTTTATTGCGTCGACAACGATGTGGTAATCCATCAATGCAAATCTTGTGTCAATGATGTTTGGACGCATTGATTAATGCCTATCATTACAAGCGGGACGGTAAAACCCGGACTTCTCACGAGTGTGCCTCCCTAATCGAGAAGTTTATTGCTTAGAACGAAGTGAAAATGAACACTATGATACTTCTAAGGTTATATTTTTTGATTTAGCAGTCAAAGAGGCCGAATGGGTGTTGATTTCCGAAGTTGGTGCCATATTCGTCGACTTCTTTCAAGATTCGTCTGAAAGAATCAAACAGCTTGCATAACTTATGAAGCTATTTTTAAACGGATCCTCTTTTAGTGGTTCTTATCATACTTTAGCAAGAGAAAATTTTCGATTTTGTAATTTCTCGCTCCTTTTAAGTAATCTCATTTCCTGAACTGTGTTAACATAATCCATCACAGTAGGAACTTTGTACTCTTTCGCCAATTTCTTTAATTGTTCGATCAGAACTTCAATTTTAAGCTTTTCCTAATAACTCAAAATCAATGAAGGCATGTAATAAGTGGTGTAAGTTCGAGACTACCTTTTCAACTTGTTCGATTTCTAGGTTAGTTTTGGAAATCTGTTCTTCGCGGCTTTTTATTTCCACTAAAGTCTTTGATGATTCTTGACTAATTTGAGCTAATTTTCTCTAGAAAAGGGGACTAGCTTAACGATTTAACGTCTCTACTTTTACGGAGTTCAATGCTTGAGTTATTCTTCCAGCAGTTAACTTTAGGCGCACTAGTTCTTGATTTTTAGTGTCAATAATTTCCAGGAATTGAGCATTTTCAATTTTGAGTTGTTCAAAATCGACTTCATGCAGGACTTCACCAATCTCTTCCGTTTGTTTTAGTTCGGTAAGCAACTTCTTACGCCGAGAACGCAATGTCGAATTGTTTAAACGAAGTCTTTCAACTAGGGTATCCTGTGAAAGAGGTCCATTATTAAAATTTTAAAATTGAAACTTGGGCTTTTAGAACTTCCTCTAAGAAGCGAGATAACTTTTCAGCAGTAATGTCATTTTGAGCTCTGACGGTTTGTTTTTCTATTAATTTTATGTAATCGCGTTCAATTTTTTGACTATGTTTTAGTTGCATTTCAGCCTCATCACAAAGTACCTATTTGCATCATGTATATTGATTAATGAAGCAGATCTTACTTGATAATCATCTAACACTGACTCGGCGTTTTTCTCCATTGACTCAATTTCCAGTAACAAACTTTCAATTTCTGACTTCGCTATTTGGCATTTTTTTTCGGGACTCAAACGAATCGATCTGTCCATTGCAGCAAATCTCGCACGAGACCGACTACGACCAATGACAGGAACAGCTTAAAAGACAATAAAGTCTAACATTTCCTTACGATTTTCTTGTATTTCCATTACGATGTTTAATCGCTTTACATAGTGGTCAAAAACAAAATTTTCGAACTCTAATTCATTTACAGTCTTACTGATATTTTGCAAATAAATCTATTTTAATTTACGATGTCTCTTCTACTAGCGATCGCAGTTGACTTTCACTATAATCTTCGAACATGAACTCGAATTTACTCCGGTCATCAGCCATTTTAAAAAATTGGGCAATTTCATGTAACCACCAAATGCCCTAAAATAACAACATATATTTAATCTGCGAGTCAGTTACCATTACAATTTGTCTAAATTTAGTACAAAATTGTTAATTTTTAAAGGAAATATTTAAAGTTAAACTAGAATTAAAATTAAATAATATGTCATATATTTTTAAATATTTATTAATAAGTTAATTAAAAATATTTTCTTTGTTTTACATCATTTTTAAATAATAAAATTATATAATTGTTTTAATTTATTAATTTTGTGTCCTTCCAGTGCGCTCTCTGCTTTGCTCAGAACTTAGTCTGCTGTAGCGTGGGTATGTCTTGCGTTGTGTATGAGGACGGAGCTGTTGGATTTAGACAGAAAATAGTTTTGTCTGTATTAACGTACAAACCAATTCGCATTAAAAACATTCGGAGTAAAAGCAAAAATCCAGGAGTTACTTCTGAGGAAGTGGATTTATTGAAACTCATCAATGAAATAAGCAACGGTGCAATAGTTCGAATTAATGATACCGGTTGCAATGTTTACTTTTCGCCTGGTACACTTATTGGAGGAGAAGTGGTATTCAAATGCTCTGCCAAGCGTGGCTTGGGATATTATCTCGAGCCTCTATTTCTCCTTTGCTCCTTCACTAAGTCTCCTCTTCATTTAACTCTGAACGGTGTCACTAATAATAGTATTGATCCATCTGTTGATGTGATAGCGCAAAGTTGGATTCCGTTCTTGAAGAATCTTCTACCTGAAGCTTCCAAGGGCGCCCTTTCATTGAATATTGTCAAGCGAGGCGTTCCTCCAAAGGGGGGTGGGCAGGTTGTCTTCACATCAAAACCTGCTCTCTTTCTTTCTCCTCTTCAGTTAATAAAGGTAGACAAGGTGTACAGGTATGTTTATGCAGATTCTGTAGTCAATCTTCTCTCTTAGAATTCGTGGCGTTGCTTGGACTTGCAGAGTTAGCCCTGCTTTTGCTTCTCAGGTTATGATTGGCGCTAAAGAACTTCTTAATACATTTCTCAGTGATGTTTATATAACTCTTGATCAACGAAAGGTATTCATTTCTGTTTGTGTTTTCAATGTTTTTATTCTTTGTTCTACTGATTTTATGTAAGTAGAGTTGTTTTTTTTCTAGCGTGAATTTGCTGGTGGCAGTTCAGGTTTCGGTATTGTTCTCTGGGCGATGACAAAGGAGAAACTGGTTTACACTGCAGAAGCCTGTAATGCTACGGAGGGTGGGAAAAAGGCTTCTCCGAATCCTGTTATTCCATCAGAACTTGGCCTTGAAGCTGCTTCTCGTTTGCTTAACCAGGTTCGTGTCAATTTTCAGCTTCTTATTATATTTTACGGATTTTTTAAAATAAGGCCTTGATTTTCTTAAGCTTTTCAGAACGCATCATCAAGCACTTCTTTTTATGGTTTCGAGAATTATATGATTATTAGGTACTGCTGGTTTTTCAATAAGCAGCGAAATGTTTAGCTTGTTCATTTATTCTTATCACTTAATTCGACATTCGAATATTACTTATGCTAATTCGAAACCATAATACGGCTAAGTGTCTTTACCTGTAACTGGATTTTGCTTTATTTTAAAATATTTCGGCTTAATATATTAACTGAATGGCCGAGTTTTTTAGTCAGAACGTGTTGTCTTTCAACCTCGGATCTTTTGCTAAAGCACTTTCAGGGCATTAGTCAATCCGTTTTCCCAGTACTAGATGGCCATATATTTTCGTCTATTTGATTTCTCACGTGTCGATTATAAAAGGTGTGCATTGTAATTAACTCGGGGTGTTTTCTTCTCTGGCTTTTAAGCCCACAAATTTTCGACTTATGTTCTTTCCGTGATATGCACTTTCTGTGCCTCATGTTCTTTACGGGAAGATAACTTTTGCAGGATTTATTTTGGATCAAGCTTTCTTAATGCTAACTCTGATTTTATCAGTTTTTAATGCTGCACAGAGGCTTTGAACAGCTTAATCCCATCCATCAGCCCCTTCATGTTTATAAATGAAAGACTAATTGAGCCCGTGTTTCTTTTTGATAACTAAATGTGCGGTTGTCATTGTTTTAACAGTTTATTTGTAATAATCGAACAGAAATAAGCACATTTCTTGTTTTTTTATTGTTCTTTATTCTAGGTAATGTATGCATTTTCTTAGTAAAAAAGCTTTTTAATTTGGTAAACTGTCTATTTTTTTGTTGGTATTTCAATAGGTCAAGAATTTAACACATTTTGTATTTATCTAGTTCATTTGTTTTGAAAGATCATCAGTTGATACATGTTTTGGCATTTTGATGATGTAGAGGGCAATCGCGATATTTTACCAGGAATTTGTTTAACATAATTTGGCCTCTTTTGGGGTCTTCCTTTTTTTAACCGATTTGAAGTCCACTTGGCGTCAAGATTTACGATCGCGAATATCTTACCAATTTGAAGTACTTTAAGCCTAAATTAGATGACATTCTCTGTTTGTGATGGTGGCGCAGTGGTTACCTTGCTCATCTGCTGGAATTAGGGGTCTCGATCTCGATGCGTTAACTAACTAATTAACTAACCCCATCGCAGTGAAAGGAGTAACAGAATCTGAATTTCTAGCTGTGGAAACTCTACGGGGCTTCTCTTCTACCCAACTAAAAGCACAACTTAAATTAAAAACAGGCTTTGTTAATTTAATTCAATGGCAACTGCATTTACGTTCAACCGTTGCTTTCGATTGATGTTATTGCTCTAGATGTTTATATTTTTCTCTACTCAATAATTCCCCAAATACTCTCTATTGTCTTAAATTCCATCCAAATGTTACTAGTTTCATGTTTGAAAATGCTCTTAACGCAACTTAAAGAGCGATTATGAGATGTTTAATCTGTTGTAACCTCACGAATTTCTCAAATTCCTTCGCCAAAAATGTTTTATTTTTCACTTCCAGAGCTAAATATTATTAACCTAAAAGTTATTAATGGCACCATTAATGCCTAATCACATGGTATTATCGTGCAGTAGGCGTACACCTGTAATGAAAAATATCTTGAAATACTGGTATATGCTACATTAAAAGTGATATTAAGTGGAGAAATTTCAGAGTTAGTAGTAAACAGGTGTTAAATTTCTGCTCTATTGCAATTGGGGGAAACAAATTCGTCACGAAAGTTATCCGAGAAATCTGTGAGAATCGTCAGCGTTTGCAGATTTTTTGTACTTTTCCAGGGCTACATTATTGTTTTTGATCTTGGGTTTCGCAAGAGAGTTGCTGACGGTTTATCTACACCAATCCGAAAGTGTATCTCTTTATCCATCACCATCTTTGCACTCGAACAGCTGTTTCAAACGTCTTTGAACATTCAGAGGTTTGGAGTTCTTATTAGGAAACTACTTTAGAATTGTCACTTTACATGTGTTAGCATACTGTGGAGTTGAATGAAAGGATAATTCGATTCTTCTCTGAGACATTGAAGATACTGAAAACAGGTATGAGAGTATTAAAACAAGCCCTCACAAATTTTAGTGGGTCACTTGACGGTAACTAATATTTCTTTTACTGCGTAGATTTATCTTGGCGGTTGCGTGGACGAGTCCCTACAGTCAGTGGCTTTGAGCCTGATGGCGTTTGAGGGTGGTCGAAATGCGAGCCAACTTCTAATCTCCGAACCCACTCCCCACACTGTGCAAACCCTTCGTCTTCTTCAAAAAACTCTCGGCGTAAGTTTTCTTGTTTCCTTATAGGCTTACCCCTTTATTTAGGTGCATTTCTTTACTTTTTGTTCAAAGAAAGCACACTTACTTCATCTATGGAATATTTAATTTTGAAAAAATCTACTCTAACTATCCTTTGGCTGTAAGTGCACTTTTATGTTCCGGGTCGATACTGATATAGTCAAGTCCAGAATATAGAAGAGATTATGCTCTTACATTAATTGAAGAAGTCTAATTATTTAGTAATTTGTTCTCTCTTTCTGGCATATCATTTCTGCTTATTGTTTACTCACAGGCTAAATAGTCGCAAATATGCCTACAGATGCATGCACAAATGGCATCGGTAATAAATGAAATAGTGATGGACCACATTGTTTTGATAGATCTTATTATGCATAACCTAATGCAAAGCCCAAAATATTTACCATTTGCAGCGGGAGGAAGTAGCAGAGATTGGCTAGCGAATAGGGTCCATAGAGGGATTTGGGATAGAGGAATAACAACAGTAAACCAATTATTTGCTTAATTTATGTCAATGGTTAATTTTCCCAATTCCAATTATAAATGATTTCTCTTAATTTCTGGCCCAATTCTTGACCACAATGTCAAGTGCTGTTTGCTCGGTTGATTACCTGCCGACAATGGCACATCTATTCATTTTACCTCCCAGCAAGTGGAAAATCAATGTGTCCCTCAATAAAATCAACCTGTTTGCAGGACCTTAACATATCAAAGATAACTGCGTGTTTTTGGTCCATCCATATTATAAATTCGTATTCAAGCACCACGAGCAGGGTATTTATTTGGAAGGTTAAAGGTTTAGAAGCCGCATTCCACTTTCAATGTTTTACTCATTTTGGTAGTGAATTAATCTGGTTACTGGTGGTGGTTTTTAACTCGTTTCTGCATCTATCGAAGGAAATCTAAGTCCATGCTAGTGTCAATCACTGCGTTACTATTATCCACCACAATCATCCCACAACTCATTTTTTAATGAAGTGACCAAATTAGATCATTGCCCTATTGGGATTATCATACTAGCATGTCAAAATCACATCGAATTGTGTACTTCAAAATAATCACCTTGTCCGTCCTTTTGTTTCGAATTTACTTTGAACTCACAATTTCGTTAATTGAATAACTTTTGTAATCGTATTTTTATTACTCTCAACTTTATCTATCTCAGGGTTTTTTGCTAAGTTTCATGACTTTTTACCAAGAATCTGTTCTTACATTTGTAATAAAAGTGAATCTACTACTATTAAGGTTACTTTCGACATCTCTTACGCCGATCGGGTTAAATCGAATGGATCTGCACCCCAAACAGAAGGCGATGCAACGGTAGAAGAAGCAACGAGCAATGAGATGCAGACACTGGTGAATTCTAACACTGACTTGGATGAAGGCGGCGATGTGGAAAAACCAGTTCCCCTCATAGCAACTTGTTTCGGCTCAGGGATAAAGAATATCAATATGGCCATTCGATAACCACCTAGTCGATTGTACCTATAGATCCCTCCCTTCTGTAATTTGAATACTATTGACCTTTGTGTAAATAAACTTTATTGGCATTTTCATTATGAAATTTTAATTCCATTGTGTTTAATCAGATCTGACATGGTCAGTCGGGGGTATTTGTATGAAATTACCTTCCTGCCCATTGTTCCACTTATCTCCCTGTGTAGTTTGAACAAGATTGTGTATAGCTTGTGTGAAGACCGTATCAAGGCTCATATATGGGCTTCTCTTATTCGATGAAGCCGTTTCTGTGGTTAACAAGTCAGGGATATCAATGGTTCGAGACTAACAATTTGGCAGCATGCTACCTCAAATTGTGTAGATGTGGGGTTTTCGGCGCTAAGTAACTTATTCCTACTAATGTATTTTGCTCATTTTAGGCCAGACTAAGTGAAATGCAAAAGAATATGAGAGGAAAGGTGTTCGGAGCAACGCTGACAGTTTCTTTGGGGAACCAATAGCTTCAAAATAAATTCAATAGACAATAAAATTACACTATAACCAAGAAGTCGTATTCAAGGTACTTGACACCAGCGTCTGTTGTTGTTGCTTCAATCTGACTCTGGGGACTGGAGCAAGCTGATTTTAAGGCTTGTTTGGGACGGGTCTCGAAACCCACTGCCTTTCTGCCCATTAACTGATTGACTTGTAATACTGATACTGCGATTAGCATCTCTTGACGTTCATAATAGTTAATAGGGTTAAGATCTGAATAGGTGGTGGGGACTTGTATCATGCTGACTCCATACATAGCTTATTATTAACTATCTTTGTTATTCTGGGCTTAACTGCTGCAGACATCAGCAATTCCACGTGAGCAACGAAATTCAACCTAAGCCCTTCTTTGATAGATACCGATGGAGGCGACACATCATCCTCGGCACTGGAGGTTACATCCGGAAACCATTTCAGTTTAGGGAGGGTCCTTTGGACTGCATACAAGCCAAGCCATCTGTTAATCAACATGTTGTGGTTTTAATTTTGCCAAAAGTTTTTTTCTCGTTATAAAGGAACCAGAAATTTTTGTGTGTCGGAAGGATGCTACACAGACGGCTTTCACCCTGAGAAGTTGATCACTACGAAGTTCGCATGACCTTGTAGTAGCGACGGTCTTGATTTAGAGGTAGAGGCGTAGGCTTCAAATTAACTGTTGGCACAAAGCCCTAGTTTCGACTCCAAGGTGACTCCGACACTCGCCCAACAGATTTCTGTTAATTCCATGTGTATAATGAAGTTATTGCCTCATTCAATTTAATACGATAAAGAAATTTGAACTCTTTTGCTTACAAAGGAACGAATTATAATATCTTGCAGTAGAACTATATCATATATAAATGGATTTTGCTTAATTAGAAATAAGGAAACTGTATAGCCAAGCAAAATAGAAGAGACTCTTTAATTGGTAATTCAGTAAACACAGCTTCTAAAGTTTGAAAATATTCATTTCGATTTATAACGAATACTTTGGGTTAATCTCTGTCTCATGTAAGGTAAACATCTCAGCACCTCTGCAAATAAAGCACTCGGACAAGCATGATTAGGTACAAGCACATTAAATCGATAAAAGCCTTCTACCTTTCTCACATAATATGAATAAGAATTCCCTTCACCAGTATTATGCAATAAATAAAATATAAATGAAAATAAATAATAATAAATTTACCCTTAGATTTGATTGAATTAGTGTTGAAATACCTCCTCTAAATCTAGGATAGAAGAGGCCTTAGTGAAATCAGACTAGGAAATATGGGGAGAGGAAGGTGGAGGGGGATAGAGGTGATAGAATCGGAAGATATACGTGAAAATGAGGTGATGAAAGTGACTGAAATCCGTAGTACAACTGGTTTAACTTGCTAATACGTCTTTCTATCACCTATTCCTCATCGTATTCAAACGTCGTGTTGATAATGACCGACATAATTAATGTGGTTGTAAGATAAATCAGAGCCAACCACAAGCATCTTTACCCTCATGAAACTGCCCTTTGAACGGTGGTAATAAGTTATGCTTTTCCTATACCAGATTCCAAAATATATTCTTAATTATTGCGATGGTACATTTATCGCGTAGCGTTTTAGTAATGGCAACAATGGGGGGGGGGGAAGGGAGGGGGAGTAAGTCACTCAAGATTGTGAAAAAATCGTTGAATCCCTTATTACGGGAATTTTTACTTTGTCCAAGACGTGGGAAGAGTAGACCAATGACGCCATCAATTGATGCGACCTTGTTCAACAAGGCATCCAACGGAGAATCGTTTATGTTATAAGTCAGTCCAAATTTGAACAGTTAATTGCATTGAGAAAATGAACTATTACAGTCAGTCATTCTCACCAATGGGTGGACACTAGTGAGGTTTGTTCCCCTAAGCTCTGACTTGTCAAATGGACTTGTCTTTTTTCTACACTTTCTAGCTAAGTGGGGTTGATCGCATGAAATTCTAATAAAATTGAACTTGAGACCAAAATCTTGCTTTAACAACGAGAAAACATGGAAAATCGAGCAGAACGAATATCGTGTAGATGTCAAGGAAAAAAGGAGTAGTTATCTGGTAAATTCAACAAATGCACATGCAAATACATTTAATCCATTTGCTCCATCTCTTGGCTTTCTTTTTCCCAATGACTAAGATGAGGAGTAGATATTTATCTGATCAGAGGTAGGTGTAAAGTTGCAGTGTAAAATTATACGAATTCAACCGAACAGGCGAACGCAAAGTGAATAATGCCTGCCTGTAAATTATCGGGAGATAGTTTCTAGTTCAGTAATTCTTTTAATCCATGCCCTAGAAACTCTGCTACGTATTTTAACCACACAGCATGACAGAAACTCCAGGGCACAACTGTTTTGGCCCCCTCTGATATCTCAATCATTCGAAGAGTATTTTAATCTGTCTGCGTGCTTACACTTTTGCAAACAAGTTGTCTATTTATGTGGTTCTGCTGTGGGTGGTACGGATTCGGAAACGGATCACAGATTCTAAACTTCAAGATTGTTATTGACAATGCTTTTACTAGAGACTAGGGAAACATGAGCAAATTATTGATTCATTACATAGCTATATGTCTTTCATATATCGTAAACTGCTAAAGCGATAGCACTGCTGCGCTTTAAAGTAACTAACTTCAAAGCATTGGACATATAAGAGAATTCTTTCCACATTTGTTGGACCTCCCGATGGAAAAATGCCATTCTTTATTGTTTAAAAATGTCAGTGCAGGGGTTTTATCCTTTAGGCGCGAACAATTCAATAAAAGTCAAAGACAATCGTTTTTTCATTATTACTAATGTCAGCGGAAAAAGTGTCACAATGCAATGCATCAAAGTAGAAAATAAAATGGGAGAAGTGAACAGGAGTATTCAATGGAGCCAAAAGAGGAATGTTATCACTTTGTTTGGATTCTATAAGTATCTTGTTGCCTACTTTCCCCCTAGGGCTCTAATTGCTTTTTGGATATCTCTATCCTCAAGGGGTTGAGTTCCATATCCGAACCATTGATTTCTTGGTGAATTCATATCCACCATAACCAACCCCCTAATGAGCGACTGTTTTGTTGACCTTGTTGGTCAAGTCACTTTAGTTAATTTGTATTTTCCCAAAGGTATGAGAAGTTAGCTAAGATAAGTATAGGAATTCTTCTCGGTTTAACTCTCCAACTTTAATGCTATTCGTTCCTACTCTTTTTTTTAAGTTGCTGCATTTCACTTAGCGCTTGTTTCATTCGAGTTGACTGACAATTGTGAAATTACGATAGAATAGATAGTAGTTTTGCGATGTAAATGTTTTGAAGATAAATGATTCAATAGAAGTATATTTGCCTATTCAAGTTGTGGAAACCGTTAAATGGATAGGTTCAAATTTGCGAAATAACAAAATGAATTGTAAAATAATGAGCTGGCTTTCAAATAATAAACTTTAATAGAGATTAAGCCATTGTCCCTGTATTTAGAGCTTATCTGCTTCCAAAATGTTGGAAGCAAACCACTAGAATTTACATTTAAAAAAATTCAGGATGCCTATATTAATTGAAATCTATTAATTGAAAACAAAGGTTAACTTGTATCCATTCAGAGATATGGCAATCAGAATACCTTGGCATCGTTATCTGAATGGTTATTAGAACAGACATGTATATCCAGGAAGTAAAAATAATCATTTAGATCGAACGACAGGTTAATGAACTGAAAACTAAGAGATCAAATTCAATAATTAAAAGTTTATATACAAGGATATATCTAAATGAAATACGAGAAGTGAAAAATTTAATTGAAGTGAATTGTCTTTTGACTTCCACCTTTATTATCTTAAGCTACGTGATTCCTCACCAATTACAACCTATCTGAAAATTTCGATGAAAGAATGTCTTTTCCACCTCTGTTCTGGATAAAATAATTTTCTATTTAATTACATTAAATCTCCTCCTAGCATCGTCAATCACCTGAAATGGTATTTGACAAGGTGAATAGACCATATATACTAGACAGTGAATCCTCTTGTTAACGATGAAGAAAGTTGTCTGTCTGCTGGTTTATGCGCCACTAAGTAATTGATTGAGCGATTCTGCGTTAATGCAATTTCGCAAGAATAAATCATTTACTTATCTCGGTCAAGTTTGAATTAAAGCATATTTTTTAATTGATGTATGAAGTAGTTAATGCAGTAGGCCAACCAAAATTTTACCATCTTAGTCCTCATAGAACAGATGAACTTCCTGAGGGCAACACAATTCCCTAGCCCTTTCAGAGTGAGATAAGAAGAGTCTAAGCGAGACTACCCGAAATTAGGAAAGAAAGAGAAAAGAGCGGAAAAATGATTGGAAGATCGTCAAACCGCGTGGGGAAAACCCGACTTGTTTGACACAGGCGAAATGAAATTCGATAAGGCGGTTATTTGTCCGTAGAAGAGAAATCAACGATTAGGGCTCAGATGAGTCATTACGCGTGCAATGCTTATGGTGACTGAACAGGCCAAT